TGGTAGTTTCATGAGATTAGGACACTTGCCCTCATTAGAACTCATCTTAATGCTAATTCATCCTTTTGTTAGCTTAGTCACACTATTAAGCACTATAAACAAGACACCTCATGCTTGGACTTAAAGACAATTTCTCCCCTCAAATACCATTAAAATAGCTCACGGCATTTTTAAGGGAAATTTTGCCCAATTTCCTTTATTTGCCACGACTTTTACCAATTAATCATGCTTAATCACTTAATAAAGCGTAATTAATTGCTTAATCATTTAATTAGACATAATACTTAACTACCAAGATTATTCTGAACGTAAACAGGACGTCGAAAATAATTTCGGATAATATCAACTGAAATAATTAATTCCGAAAAATAATACTCGACAATATTATTATATCGGAACTAAAAACATGATTTATTTGATTAAGCTTGGTACCTAAATACCAAAATTAATCCGAACGTGAACATGAGTTCGAAAATAATTTCGAAGAATCTTGACTGAAATAATTAATTCGAACTATAATAATTTCGAATTCTTGACTTGGACGATTAATCCGAATATTGATATTTCGAATAATTCGTCAACTTAACTTATTAATTCTGAACTCATTAATTAATAAACGAATCGGAATTAAATCTGGAAACTTATTCGGTTACTGAAATAATTAAACCGAATAATTTATCGACTAATAGTCGAACTTGAAATATAACTAGCTGATTAACTTGAACTTGAACATGAACATGATTATTTATTAACAAAGGCTAGCTTAAAATTAAAAGCTAGTATTTTCCTTTATTAATAAAACTCGGGGTGTTACAATCCACCCTCCTTAAAATATTTCCGTCCTCGGAAATACTAAAACTGAACGTACAAGCTTAACATAAGCTTCTACTTACCGATGACATGACTTGAGAACTCAGTACTTTAATACTGAATAATAGACTTGATCTGAACTGAAAATACATCAATTCACAATTAAGTGAATTGTGGGATACTGCTGACTGAGAATGGACACTTTTCTGAAATAAAGTGTTCCACTGATTATACATGATTTTAAAACACAATTCTTGAGCGTGCTGATCATCATCTCCTGGCTGATTGTTGATCTTAGTCTGAACGTTGGGTGGAATAAACTACAGTTGTTGGTACACACGGGAAAATTTCAGAGATACGCACATGTACAATTGAGGATAACTAGCAATATCAATGATTACCTTTCGTGAATATTTGCTCGATAACGCGGCACATCGTTCGCGGCACATTGTAATGCGGCACACCTGCTCCTCATCAAGTGAGTGCGGCACGCCTGCATACCGCACCTGGCGAACATTGCACCTGCGTTGTCGGAGTAGTCTGTATCTCAAGCTAGTAACCTCAATGTACTATAATGCTAACTCCCTGTAATCTCCTGTGTACTGTAACTTAGACATGGCATCCCTTTTTTTTCTTGCGTCATGCATCCTTGGATAGAAAGCCTCAGCTTGTCTTCACGGCATTGTCTATTGTTGTTGATTGGCCCTTCTCCGTTGTACCTGCAAATCTTTACCTTCCCTGAGGTTTAACATAACCTCAAGAAAAGTCTATTATGAGCTAATCTTTCCTGCGATTTCTCAATTTTTTCAAAATTTGAGAATCGAGGCACTGATTATACTTGAAATGACTGATACGTCTTGTCTTATTAGACAAGCTATCTTTGACTTTGGCATAACTAGCCTAAATATTCTCATAACTGGATAACCATGACTTGACTTTTACATGACTGAATTATCTTTACCTAAACTCAGAAAGCTATCCCGAGACAACTAAATAATCGCCTCGGAATTGGAAACATGACATTTACTGATTTACTTGACTTGATAAGGTACGACTTCAAGTTTCCAGGTAGAATTGGATTAATAGTCTGTATTACAGACCTCCATATTTAACCCGGTTGAACAACCATTATACGTCGACCTTAAATCATGAACAATAACTTTAAATCTTGAACATTAACTCATGACTATGTACTGTATAGGGCTGTTCCAGTATCAACTGGTCCCGCAAGTACAAAGGAATTAGCTGATCTTGATCTTTGAAAACCTTAACTTGAAGTATCATGACTGACAAAATACATGACATGACTGACTTTAAAGGTTGTGATTATATGAAATCATACTGCTCCGGTCCCAGCTTCAAGACTCCATGGTATACCCGGCTGAGTGGCTCCTATTTCAAGCCTCCATGGTAACCCGGACTGTTGGCTCTTATACACTAGAAACCGTTACCTTGACAATAACTTGAAAATTATAACAACCTTTAGTAGGAAGATTTTCGCCTTGAACATGATTTACAGATCTGAATTAGGAAACTTGAGTCTATCCCCTGATCTAACTCAAGGAATTCCTCCTTGGAATGTGCCAACAGGTTGGCAAAATAGGCAATTTTCGATAAAAATGTTTGAGGGACATGATTGCTAAGATTTGTATAATATAAGTACTTACAAATCTCTTGACGAGTCGTGAGCTTGACCTGAATAAATCTAGAATTTAATCTAGAGTTCTCAAATTTAGCCCCTTTCTAAGGTTCTGTATTCTGATTCGGGCATCCTTACTGATGACATCAATGAAGCTGATCAATAAAGCACACAAATTTCTTGACGAGTTGCTAAACATGACTGGGGAATACTGTCTCTAAATTCTGAGTATACTGACTACTGATCCTGAACATGATTCGAGCATCTTAACTAAGTCATAACTGAGGTATTTCTGAGCATAGACATAGTAATTTGTTTATAATTTAAAACATGAATCAGCACTTATCTGTAGTCGGCGAGGCGTGAGCGTGACGTGTTCAGGTTTTTGAAAAATTTCTGACTCGTAAAAATTTTCAGAGACGCAAAAACATGCTCTGATACCATCTGTAACACCCCGCTATTTACTGAAATTCAGAGTACGCTTGTCGCAAAATCTTTCTTTTAAAACACTGATTAATTTGCGAAATCCTGATTCGGGGTGCTACCGTAAAATCTGACTTTTTCTGAAAACCGTTAATTTTAAACTGATAATAAAAACGGTTATCTAATATATCAACCGACTATCGTCGGGTCAAAAAGCTAGTTTAAAGTACTGAAAAACTGTAGCGGAAATGTAGCGTAGCCAAAACATAATATATACATAAAAACAAATGTCCTGAACCCGTCGCCCGCTCACTCCTCGCCTCTGACTCTGCGACCTGAAAAACATGAATAACGTGGGGGCGTGAGCACTAAAACACTGTGCTCCGCAGAAACTCATACTAAAGTAAAACAGTGAATATAATAACAATATCACGATCCTGGCATATATAACTGAACTGAAATTGATATCTGATACCGATACTGAATAATCTGATACTAATCTCGTGATATAAATCACCTGACTGATAGCTGAACATCTACCGGCAAAGCCGGACACCATGTGCACACTCTAGTGGGCAGATTAAGGCCACTAGAACCCAGAATGGACCGGCGACCATTCTGAGCGGATACTGATAATACATACCTCAAACATGGTA